CTTTGTACAACAGCCAGCAACACGTGGCCGAGGGTCTGAGTCATGCGCTCGCGGTTGGCCTTTGGGTTTAGCGGTGCCTCTGTCAGCAAGACTGGGTGCTCCTCAGGCGATGCGCGCAGCTCGTTGTAGAAAGTGTGGTGCCAAATGCGCTCCATGTCGTCCCAATTCGTCACGATGCCATGCTCAATTGGGTACTTGAGGCTCAAGACCCCACGCTTGGCTTGAGCTGCATCTCCAATCAAGTGGTCTTGCCTCACAGACTTTTTGCCAGCACAACTTTGCATCACCAAGCTGAAGAAAACTTCATGCAAAGTAAAATGCTTTCTAATGAGATACGACCATTCCCGATGAATGGAATAAGATGTAGTAAGATTATATCTTGTTTCTGGATATTTTAGAAGAATAAGATATGATCTTTCTGGGTTCAACCACTGAAAGGACCTTACCCATCTAGGGGTGCTATAAGGATAGTATAGCCTTTATTTAGGGGAACTGCCTTCACTCTGATAAGGGATTGTTGCGGAGAGTGCTCTAATACGGTTCTGTTTCATGGGGACTGTATAGGGCTTAGCAAGGCCAACTTGCACGATATGTTTGCCTCACAAAGCCCTAAACCCTAAACCCGAGTGAATCTAGACCTGTGGATGCAGCCCTGCATGCTGAGGGCTTGACGGGTGTAGGGATTAGGGTTTAGTGATTGCTTGGGGGTTGTGTAAGAGTAAGGGTTGTAGGGGTTACTTAGGGGCCTAGGGATTAGAGATTAGCCTTCTTCTGCTGAGACTCTTGTCCATGCCTACCATGATGTTGGAGAACTTCGGACGCCCGATGATGGATGGGAAGACTGCTCGCGGAGCGTCGTCGCCAGAAAAACCAGCCTGCAATGAACCCTTCGTGCTATCTCAACCTACACAAGCTGCCCCTGCACGAGCTCAACAAATATGTCTCACAAGCTTGTCCCCTGCCAGAGTCAAACCCAGACCATCAATATTGTGGCTTTTCTAGAGGACCTGGAACTTCCTCCTAGAACCCCTATGGCCCAATGAAAGGTTCTAACTTCTCAGGCTTGTCTCAAGAAGAACCCACCTGAAGAGCAAACTCCTCAAAAAGACCTCTGCTGGAAAGAATATACGCGTTTTGAGGTTTAGGGTTAAAAGCATCACTAGCATGATGCGAGTAAGCGAAAGCTGTCGTTAGGAATTCTAGGAAGGACACAATTGGGGCCGCGCTTGGGGTTCAGGGGCAACCCGGAGAGCACGCCAAGTTGGATTGCAACATTGCAAAGCCTTGTCAAGTATTCCAAAGTTGACTTGGTGCTATGCATGTATGCTTGCTGGCCTATTCTGACCTTAACAACTCTACCCACGTTATTCCAAAATCTGCGACGCCCACCTTGCACATGCCGCTGCCATTGTCTACCACAAGAGCAACAACCTCGTCTGACATGGCTGCCGAAATCTCAGTAGGGCAGGGGTGCGGGAGGTAGCTGGCAGGCGGCCGAGCGGAGAAGCCAAAACGGTTGCGAGACACCAAGTTGTCCAGGGAAGCAAGCGAACCGGACTGCCTTCATGATAAGGCACCATGGCTTAAAGGCACAAAAGACGATTGGTGAAGGGCAAAATCTAAGAAGAGGCACGCCTTCTTACTTTCTTAACAAGCGTGGCTACTTCGACTCGGCAGTCTTTGCTGTACAGGTGTGCTGCCTTCTGCACTGCCTCAACAACTT